AAAAAAAAAAAATTGAAAAAAATGAAATTTTCCCGAATTGAAGTTTTATGTATTATATGTTTTATTATTATATATTTATATTATATGTAAAATTCTCTATTTTTATTTTAAAGAGCAATATTTCTTTTACATAATCAATCGGCCTTCGATCAGTTTTCAAATTATTTGCACAAAGACAAATAAATTAAATGTAATAAATATACTATAATATGTAATAAATATAATATTTGAATTCTGCATGTTTATAGTAATACGATAAATATAAAATCATCATTTCTTAGTTTATATTTATTTGTAATATATGGCATAAGTATGGCATAGATAAATTAATATTATCACATAATTTAGCATAGTTATTCATTCATAACAAATTAGCTAATACGAAAATAAAATATAAAACATTTCTTGATGAAAATTACAAAAATTATAATATAATGTCATATTTAATATTTATCTTCTATTTTCTTCTATTTTCTTATCATTATCTATCATTTTTTTATCATTATTTTATATTTAACAAAACAAAATCTTCTACAAAAAAAAAGATATTTATTTTTAAATTTTCTTATATATTATATATTGGTTGCCAACTGTTTTCTATAAACAATACTATTAAGAAATAAGTTTTGAAATAATTTAAAATAAAAAATATATAGTAAGAAAGAATATATTTAATAAAGAAAATAGAAAAAATTCCGATGTTTTTGTTCTACAATACTGAACTATCATTATATTGTACTGTAGTTTCAAAAAGAGAAACAGACAAAATAAAATCGAAATAGTGATGAGGTCTAGTGACGTTCATAAATATATATATATGAGTTGCATCTTTACATGTATAAACTTAATAAGTATCTTTATAAATAATTGATAAGTATCAACTCTCGGTAATCAAATATTAGCAATATATATTATTTTTCTTTATATTAATCAATTGTAAAAATATTCAGACTATTTTCTATAGTATTTAATAAGTGTATTCCTTTTCAAAATCAGATTATGTGGCAAAATAAAAATATTATCAAATCTTCTCAATTAATATAATGCAGAAAACAGTTAAGCATTCGAGTAAATTATAATATTCAAATATTGATATCAAGTAAATTTCAATATTAGTCAATTCACATATGCATTCAACAAATCCATAAAATCATTCAGTAAATATCCTATCGAGATACTCCAAATTCAAAATTCATCTGAATCAAATCTAAATAACAATAATACTACTCCATCAACAACACAATAATTTATATCTCTATTAGTCTTTTATATCTTTATATAATTTCCAAAGAATCTCCAATACAATTACAATTGTTAATTATTCAAGAATGAGAATTCTAAGACAAAATATATACTATACTAGTATAAAAATCCATAATATTCATATACCGTGACAATATAATAATGTTAAATAAGAAATCTGATGTATTAATCAATGACAATCTTCAAAAAAAAAAAAGAAACAGAAATAGAAATGTTTCTATTTTTAAAAATAAGTAATAAATCAACATAATAAATAGACACCAACAGATTTTACAGATAAGTAAATAAAACTAGCAAATGACAATAATGCTCTTAATAATAGCGATAGTTAATTTTTAATAAATAAAAATTATTGTTAAAATTAAAAACTTAGTAAAATTTTGAATATTGTATAAATATAATAGTGACGTTGAATGACTCAACTGAATATTACTCGAAAAACCATCTACGGTCGTAGAATTGTACAATTATATTGTGAATTTTGAGTAATAATTATTGACTCTAAGGAGCAATTATTTATGATTGATTGATGACTAACTGAATTCTATCTGACTTCTGATTTGTGCTTTGATTTCTGAATCTATGTCAAATTCTATCTGTCTGTAAAAATTGTTTAACGATTTTTTCTTTAATCATTATTTTCCGCAAAAATACAAATTAAAAAGGATTAGAGAAACTAATAGTATTAAGAGATAGTTTCGAAAGTTGAACTTTCGGAGAATCGCATCGCAGAGCATGGAGATCAAGACACTTGCAACTGTTTCTATGGTCTATTGCAAGACATTTAGTAAATATGACTTATGGCTGCTAATGACTGCATCGTTATCTTATATCTTAGAGGATCTGGAAAATATTAAGGAACTATACCTTGTAAATTATTACTAAAATCTAAAAACTATTGAAAATGTTGAAACTATTGAATTTATGAATAAAATTTAAGTTGTCTAATCGCTTCATAAATCAATTCTGGTTTTTTTCTTAATAATTATAAAACCGATATATTTGATAAATTTCATACTAATAGATATAAAA